GGGTGTGTGTAAGTGTGGAGGGATGTTTGTGAAAGTGTGGATGGTGTGTGTAAGTGTGCAAGTGTATGTGTTTGTGCAAGTGTAAAGATGTATATGTAAGTGTGAATGGGTGTGTGTAAGTGCAAAGAGGTATGTGTAAGTGTAGAAGTGTGTGTGTGTGTGTGTGTGTGTGTGTGTGTGTGTGTGTGTGTGTGTGTAAGAAGTGTGGATGGGTGTAAGTAAGTGTGGATGGTGTGTGTAAGTGTGGATGGGTGTGTGTACGTGTGGAGTAGTCCATTTACTGTATATTTTCCAAGGGAGGACCTTTCACCCCAGCCGTGAGCTAGGCCCAGCAGGTCCCGAGGTCCCATCTTGCTGAGCCTCCCAATGAGTCACTACCACACTGAATCACCACCCACTGAGTTACCACCCACTGAGTCACCGACCACTGAATCATCGCCTACTGAGTCACAGCCACTGAATCACTACCCACTGAGTCACCACCCACTGAGTCACCGTCCACTGAATCACCACCCACTGAATCACCGTACACTGAGTCACCGCCCACTGAATCACCGCCCACCACTGACTCACCAGGAAGACAGATCCCTTGAGATCAATGACAGCACACAGCTCCGCCCATCGTGATTTAACTCGCTGTGATAAACTGGAGCTGAAATATTCAGTGTATTCGTAACTTATGCCTCTGAAAATGTAAACTTTTATTTTCCGTACAGTTGTAGTTGGTTAATGGAGAAACCATCTGTCGGTCTGTACGTGAACGGTTAAAGTAGAAAAATTGTCACAAAGGACAAATATTGTCTATATTGTTGGTATATACAGTATGTGGAAGAAGATTTGATTTTGTTGTTGCTTGTAAAGTATATTTTTATTGTGCACCCTGTACACTTCATCCTGTGAGTGTAGCGCAAAAGGATTACAGAGTAGGGTTTACAAAGGGTCATAATAATTAACCCGGTTGTCAGGATATTATGGCACCGAAAGTTACACAGTATTTCCTCATTTACATTATTTGTTTAGTTCTATACATAAAGGGTAACTTATTCACAAATGTGTGAGAACAGGCGTGTGAGGCAGTATGTCTGGCTCACACTTTGTTATTCACATTTACGGGAGTACCAAGCACATTGCGTATTTGGTTCTGTACATGAACCGGATATAGTTACTGAGTGCAAAAAAGTGGATACAATCTAATATGTCGGCTATCTTGCCATTAGGAGATGAAGTGTTGTGCCATTTCACACAGTGTGCTTGGACCTGTTCCTGTGCTGTCTTATCTTCACACAGTCGAGGACGGGAGAAGTGTGTGGCCATATGTATGGCCACACACTTTACATTTTAGTTTTTGTTTACATCTGCTTGAGGAACATACTGCCAGAGGTACTTATATCCTAATCCTTAATCTAGCGGTTGTATAAATATCTTGTAATCTAGCGCGGATCTTGCTTTGCTCCATATACATGTTTCACTTGATACATCTCATCATGGTAACGTCCAGGATCGACTAGTGCCTGTTTGCACTTGCTCATTTGCGTCAAACTCATCAATAAAGTTCTTTTTCCTAATTACAGTTTTAAGGGTTCTTTTGACAGACCCCAAATTGTATTCAACGGTGTCTTTGTTAGACGCGAGTTTGGCGAGGCATCAACTCTGTCATGTTTTATGAGGCCTATGTGGAGAGGATCCACAGCAGTTTGACCCTGATACCCCCCGGTCAACAAGGCACGCATATTGTGTCTGCTTCAGAGACAAGATCGTGACAACCTGGTCGAGGGTGGCAAGGGCAAGTAGTGAGGATAGAGAGATCAGTGATGATGAGACTGTCAGTAAACAGTGGCTCTACTGAATTTATTAGGCTGTGAGTATAAAGTAAACCAATCTAGCTTCTAGAGTGGATGCCCAGTTGTTAATTCTAACTCCTTTCTCAATTATATTACTGTCAGGTTGAGTCAGCCAACAAAGGCACTTCCAGCCTCCCACAGGCGGTGCTTTAGAGATCCAACAGTGTAGATGGTCTGTGTGATATTATCATCAGTCTGTAGAGTGTGTATGTGTTCAAGGGCTCTCAATTTGGCAGTGTGTTGGAGATAAATGCTTGGTATAATTAATTTTTTAGGCGGATACGTCGGTATTGTGATATCGAAGGGAACTGTCCGCCAGGGTGGCAGGAAGCGCTGTTGTGTCTCAACTTTGTACAGGTGGTCTAGTCCAAATATCTTCATATGTGTAGCTGTAGTTTGGATCCATTTAGACTCAGTAGTCCCATGGTTCATACATTCTAGCAATTTTAAGGAAACAATGTTATCAGGATCACCACGCAGAAGCCCCAGGGCTATCATGAGGTTGACTTCAATTATTCTGTCTTTAACACTGGGTATACCAATTTCTTTCCTCATATTAAGTACTTTAGTGCTCATGGGACATCCTAGGATAATTCTGAGGGCTTTATTTTGCATTTTCTCGAGCTTGTCAACGCCTTTCCCGTCACGAATGACCAGGGCTGGTGCGTGGTAATCTATCAGAGATCTTATATAGCCTAGGTACATTGTTTTAACAAGTCTAATATTAGCACCATAGTGCGGGCTGTACCCCGCTACACTTCTAAGAGGTCTCAGTCTGTCAGTACATTGGCGGGTTAGCTGTTGTATGGCAGGTAGGGTACAAGGGACGGAAACACCAAGATATTTAAAAGAAGAAACATAGTCAATAGTGTTGTTACCTATCTTGAACTTGGCGGGGCCGCGTTTGCGGTTCCCAGCTTGTTTGTTGAACACCTTAGTTTTCTCAGTGGAGATAATAAGACCGAGGTGTTCACAGGCTGCGTATACATGGTTCAGGGTGGTTTGCATTTCACGATGAGTTTTAGTATGTATAAGAATATCATCAGCATAGCTGATTGAGATATTGCTGGGGTTGTCTGGTATTAAATTTAATAATGCATCCATAAGAACATTGAACAAAGTGGGGCTAAGTACTCCACCTTGAGGGGTACCAAGTTGCATATCTTTAACTTCACTTTTGTAACGCTGAAACAGTGCAGCAGCCCTTCTGTTGGTTAGGTAACCACTTATCCAGTGTAACAGCCTACCTCCTATATCCATTTTGGCTAGTTCGTACAGTATCAGTTGCCTATTGGCAATATCAAATGCAGCTTTTAGGTCAAGAAATGTGGTGTATCTGTGCCTTTCATCACCATGCACAGTTAGGAATGTGGTGATGCAATTAGAAGAAGAGAGGTGGTGTCCGGCAAGGCCAAGAGAGAGAGAGAGAGAGAGAGAGAGAGAGAGAGAGAGAGAGAGAGAGAGAGAGAGAGAGAGAGAACTTCCCAGTTTTATTACATATTGTCACACTGTTTCATACGAAGTTAATGACTCTCGGACTAAGGATTCTGTCCCGGGATCTCGGGATTCCGCCTAATAAATAGCTAACTCAATTCCCAGGACAAATTTTGAAAATTCCGGGATTTTCCTAATTTTAATAATCCTTCTCTAAGCAACCTAAATTAGCATGTATGTTACTTAAATAAATAAATAAATAAATAAATAAATAAATAAATAAATAAATAAATAAATAAATAAATAAATAAATATATAAATAAATAAATAAATAAATAAATAAATAAATATATAAATAAATAAAAAGTATGTTGCTAAATTACTAACAAGTTACGACTTGCAAGAGTCGAGACGAGAGCATTCCTGTCACACGAATATGGCCTGACGAGCACATTGTGTCTCCTGTATGTTACACGAGCATCTCAGTGCAGGTCTGGGGGCCTGAGAAGAAGGGAATGTCTACTATAATTTTGTCAAAGGTCTAACTATGATATATTATGTGCTATACTATTTTATATGAAGATATTACCCAGTAAAATAAGTAGTATTTTGCAGGATGTATCAATTCTTGTTCCTATTATCCTAAGAAGTGCTATTAAATTGCAACGCTATGCTGCATTGTTCTTTTTCGTTCATATTTCCTGAATCCAGAAAAAAAAAATCCTGGGAAACCAGAAACCCTATCTCGGACACTGCTCATTGTCGATAATAAAAAAATTCTAAATCTTATAACTCAGCTACTGGAACACAGAGTATTTTCTCTACAGAAAGGAAATAAATAGACTGATGTCATCCAGGTCAATTATAATCTATGATATTTGAAATTGAGTCTCCTATCATACCTCACCGAAATGCTCTCACCAGGCACGAGGTCACAAGAAGATGTGACCTAAATATCTTAATAAATTCTCTGCACAAGGACTGACACACCGTATAACAGAGAGAGGCACGCACGCACGCATAGCACAGGTGTAAAGATCACAATAAGATCCTGTACACAGCCGAGAGAGCCTCTCCTCGGCCACAGAGGATAAAGATCAGCCTTGTCTGGCAGCCTTCGTGTTTAAACAGCTCGGAGCGTCAGGCAGGATACGTTCCTCGGTATTAAAGGATGGGAAACACAGTCCTGTAACTATATTCCTAGTTGAGTGAAATACATCTTTTGAGCAGAAAGTGAAGAGCATGAATTAAAAAAGAAAATTTATTATCAAGTTTACGTTAAATTCAGAAAAAAAATATAAGTGTGAACCAATAGAGAATACGAGATGACGTTGAGTTGTGGAGGGATATGCTATGATCTCACATACACACACACACACACACACACACACACACACACACGCGCGCGCGCGTGCCTAAAATAGTTTCAGTAAAGAAGACATCAGCTGGGAAGGGTACAAAGGGTAGGGTATCAGGTCAGCAACACTGGCACCACTACTTCACCACCACAACCTATAGTCAGGGAATGTACCGTACAAATATTTCACTGTTGAATGCCAGTTATCATTTGCCATTCGTAAAGTTTCAAAGATATGAAAAAGAAAATAGCTAATTAGTTTGAGTAAGTTGAAGAATGATAACAAGCAACTGATAACTTATCAGAAAGAAAACAGCTGATGGCACTGATGGAGGCGACCAGCTGACAGCATATAAGACGAGACGAGCAGTAGATAGCACTTAGGCACCAGCTGCGTGAAGTATAAGTCAAGTATTAACCAGCTGTCCCTTGTTTTAGTGTATATAGACAAGGAAGGTTAACCACCATGCATCTCACCTTACCTCTATTGTTGTGCCTGGTGGGGGTGAGCACCGTGCTAGGCCGGAGACGTAGAGGCAGTGGCTTCATGTACCCTCCCAAGCACCTACTTGATGCCTCACACCTTCCCCCTGCCCAATGGTTCACTCAGGTCCTCGACCACTCCGAGCCTGCCGACACACGAACATGGCAACAGGTAATATATATTTTTTTCTTCTATTAATGCAAAATCAATTAAAAGTGTGGTGTAGTGAGGGTCACACAATTCATTTTTTTGTACCGTACACATAAAACTATCTTCCCCATTGGAGGTTTTGTAATGTTCTGTACTGTAATGCATTGTATGGTATCAAGTTACGCAAGACATCATTTATTTCAAGTTCCATCCACAATCTCAAGTCAGAAACAAAAACATCACTGATAACATAAATTAGTGGCACGTTTGTACAAGGTTCTAAATTACCTTATAATATAAACCAAATATCCAATACTACATAACAAAACCTTTCAACAACAACAGCTAGTGCTTCTTAATACTCTGGTGGGGAGAGTTTAATACTACCTCTGTCACAGCCACTTCGGTAATTATTCGTGTTTTGCCTTTTCCCCTCATTTGATGAACAAAATGTTTTTCTGGTGTATTGACATAGCTCCCCGGGGGGCTCCTCTCCCCGGACTATGCCATATTAAACAGAAAGTACTTATTTTGATATTTTGTACCAATGAAAGCAACTTTGTTGAAGCGTCACGGTATAATTTTACGTTTTTTTTTTTTTTTGGACGTGAGAGTACGCTCGGGCCGAGTAGGTCGGTTGTAAGCAAACAGTGCAGACGACAACATGCACTGACAACGGCAGATACCTAATGTTTGAGGGTAAATATATTAAAAACTAAGCATTTGCACAAGAAACGTTGCTCTTAAATATCGATTTGAAATTAAAAAAAAATATAACATATTTAGGGTAGTCAGAAGCACTCGAATAGGAATGAGTGAAAGACGAATATTAACCGACACTTTCTGCTGTAAACATTATCTAGGGTTATGATGAAGGTGTGTGTGTAAGGTGAAGTTAACTATAGTGGTTACCTGTTTCTCTTACGAGTGTAAGGTGAAGTTAACTATAGTGGTTACCTGTTTCTCTTACGAGTGCAAGGTGAAGTTAACTATAGTGGTTACCTGTTTCTCTTACGAGTGCAAGGTGAAGTTAACTATAGTGGTTACCGGTTTCTCTTACGAGTGCAAGGTGAAGTTAACTATACAGTAGAAGGTAAAGATTTATAAAAAAAAGGTTGAAGGAAATATTAAAGTTAACGTTAGGTTTGAGAGATATATGATAATTTAATTTTCTTTTTTCTATGGTTAAAGGTGGATTTTTTCTAGTTTAAACATTAGAGATATTAAAGTTTGGGTTTCTGTGATTTGACAATACCAAACTCGACCTTCTGCCAAACTTAACCAATCATACTTGAATCAACCCAATCGTCTCTGTACAAACCTTCTAATCCCATATTATCTGTTCACAACTAATGTGTGGACAACCTGAAGGTGTAGCAACTTGAAGGTTGGCAACTTCAAGGTTGGCAACTTAAAGGTTGGCAACTTCAAGGTTGGCAACTTAAAGGTTGGCAACTTAAAGGTGTGGTCAGTATTGAAGTCTCACATACATAGACAGTATATTAAAAGTTTTGTGTCATTATTAGCAAAGATATGTTTATCATACATGGTTTAACAAGGTTTACGCTTATATCTGATAGGTTTATTGTACTTAGGATGTGTCAACACAACAGGAGGAAGTGTCCAGTAACTGACACTGGCGATCTGTAGATGACAGGTAAAACGATAAATAAAGTAACTACCTATCCCTCTATGGCTGACAGGTAACAGATACACAAAGTAACTATCTCTGCTGGCAGGTAAATTGATATTAATACTGAAATAGTTTATTTTGCCAGAAAAATACAGATACTGAGTCGATAATAATAACAATGATGACATGGCTGAGCCAATTGAGAGCCTGAGCTCCCTTAATAACACCTTTTATATACTGTACATTTATCTCAAGGAAGCATTATGTAACATTTAGTATCATCTGGAATAGTACACGTAACATGGTGGTAGTAAGAACATATCAGAATATTATTACGATTATCACTTCGGTTTTATTTATTTATTTTATTTTTACATTTATATAATAAGTATGTACATATTTTACAGTGTTGTTGATAATTATACATTAAAATGATAAGGGAGGAAGTAATACAACTTGGGGTTGTGTTAAGGTGAAACAAGGAGCACAGAAACTGTCAGTATCATGTCTTGACGGCAAATATATAAATATTGCAAAGGTAATTTATATCTATCTATTTGAGAATATATGATATAATGGTTTTGGTGGTACAATAAAAGTAGAAATATAAAGTAGGTATTACAAAAATATTAATGCTTAGACAATATATATTTTTTAAGAGATAATTTAAAGGAAAGAAGCATAGTCTTTGCTCTGATGCTGACAGGTACCAGATAGATAAAGTAACTATCTGTCTCTCTGTGGCTGACAGGTAACAGATAGATAAAGTAACTATCTTTCTCTCTGTGGCTGACAGGTAACAGATAGATAAAGTAACTATCTGTCTCTCTGTGACTGACAGGTAACAGATAGATAAAGTAACTATCTGTCTCTCTGTGGCTGACAGGTAACAGATAGATAAAGTAACTATCTTTCTCTCTGTGGCTGACAGGTAACAGATAGATAAAGTAACTATCTGTCTCTGTGACTGACAGGTAACAGATAGATAAAGTAACTATCTCTCTCTCTGTGGCTAACAGGTAACAGATAGATAAAGTAACTATCTGTCTCTCTGTGGCTAACAGGTAACAGATAGATAAAGTAACTATCTGTCTCTCTGTGGCTGACAGGTAACAGATAAATAAAGTCACTATCTCTCTCTCTGTGGCTGACAGGTAACAGATAGATAAAGTAACTATCTGTCTCTCTGTAGCTGACAGGTAACAGATAGATAAAGTAACTATCTGTCTCTCTGTGGCTGATAGGTAACAGATAAATAAAGTAACTATCTGTCTCTCTGTGTCTGAGGTAAGACACTACCTGTGGGATGGGATACTCAGGGTTGGCGGAGATAAACAGTGTCTAGGTGAGAGTCTCATCAGGTGAGCCAAGTGTCTCCTTATCTCTCCCACACCTGCTTCTTCTCATGCACCTCCCTCACATTGGCTGTCTCACACTCTGGCTGTATCCCTTACACTGGCTGTCTCCTAAACACTGGCTTTCTCTACCAAACTGGCTGTTTTACCCTCTCGCTGGTTATCTCCCTCACACTGGCTGTCTCCCTTACACTGGCTGTCTCCCTCACACTGGCTGTCTCCCTTACACTGGCTGTCTCCCTCACACTGGCTGTCTCCCTTACACTGGCTGTCTCCCTCACATTTATGATAGTACTGGTTATATGTATAGTGAAGTGGTAATGCTCTTATTAACTTTACAAGAATTTACTATGTATATTTTATACAAAGTTATGACATACTACAGAAACTGTATAAAAATGTCTTCGAGTTTTTTCTCTGTGTACTCTTTACATGGATGTAATCTTAAAAAATATTGAATTTGTGTTCCGAATACATATTAGGAGCGTTTAGAACTATTTCATGTTATGTCGCACAATATTTCACATTTGAGATGGAACTGAATTTCTTTTACTTTTCAGAAATATTATACGAATGACTCTTTCTATAAGCCCGGAGGACCTGTTTTTCTTATGATCTGTGGAGAAGGACCAGCTGACCCTTGGTGGGTGGTGGGGGCATATTGGGTCAACTATGCCAGGGACCATAATGCCTATATGTTATTCCTTGAGCATCGATTCTATGGCCAGAGCTACCCTACTGAGTGAGTCTTTTATTCTACTGAAAATATTTATTTGGGTGTAAACCATTTACTTTTGCACATCGTCATCTAGTGAGTAGTTCCTCACACTGAGACAGAGATACTCATTGTTTCCTCACACTGAGACAGAGTTACTCATTGTTTCCTCACACTGAGACAGAGATACTCATTGTTTTCTCACACTGAGAGAGATACTCATTTTTTCCTCACACTGAGAGAGATACTCATTGCTTCCTCACACTGAGACAGAGATACTCATTGTTTTCTCACACTGAGAGAGATACTCATTTTTTCCTCACACTGAGACAGAGATACTCATTGTTTCCTCACACTGAGACAGAGTTACTCATTGTTTCCTCACACTGAGACAGAGATACTCATTGTTTCCTCACACTGAGACAGAATTACTCATTGTTTCCTCACACTGAGACAGAGATACTCATTTTTTCCTCACACTGAGACAGAGATACTCATTGTTTCCTCATACTGAGACACAGTTACTCATTGTTTCCTCACAGTGAGACAGAGATATTCATTGTTTCCTCACACCGAGACATAGATACTAATTGGTTCCTCACACTTAGACAGATGATATTCATTGTTTCCTCACACTGAGACAGAGTTACTCATTGTTTCCTCACACTGAAACAGAGATACTCATTGTTTCCCCACACTGAGACAGAGTTACTCATTGTTTCCTCATACTGAGACAGAGTTACTCATTGTTTCCTCACACTGAGACAGAGATATTCATTGTTTCCTCACACCGAGACATAGATACTCATTGGTTCCTCACACTTAGACAGATGATATTCATTGTTTCCTCACACTGAGACAGAGTTACTCATTGTTTCCTCACACTGAGACAGAGATACTCATTTTTTCCTCACACTGAGACAGAGATACTCATTGTTTCCTCATACTGAGACAGAGTTACTCATTGTTTCCTCACAGTGAGACAGAGTTACTCATTGTTTCCTCACACTGAGACAGAGTTACTCATTATTTCCTCACACTGAGACAGAGATATTCATTGTTTCCTCACACCGAGACATAGATACTCATTGGTTCCGCACACTTAGACAGATGATATTCATTGTTTCCTCACACTGAGACAGAGTTACTCATTGTTTCCCCACACTGAGACAGAGATACTCAATGGTTCCTCACACTGAGACAGAGATACTCATTTTTTCCTCACACTGAGACAGAGATACTCATTGTTTCCTCATACTGAGACAGAGATACTCATTGTTTCCTCACACTGAAACAGAGATACTCATTGATTCCTCACACTGAGACAGAGTAACTCATTATTTCCTCACACTGAGACATAGATATTCATTGTTTCCTCACACTGAGACAGAGTTACTCATTGTTTCCTCACACTGAGACAGAGATACTCATTGGTTCCCCACACTGAGACAGAGATATTCATTGTTTCTTCACTCTGAGACAGAGATACTCATTGTTTCCTCACACTGAGACAGAGATATTGATTGTTTCCTCACACTGAGACAGAGTTACTCATTGTTTCCTCACATTGAGACAGAGATACTCATTGGTTCCCCACACTGAGACAGAGATATTCATTGTTTCCTCACACTGAGACAGAGATACTCATTGTTTCCTCATACTGAGACAGAGATAATTGGTTCCTCACACTGAGACAGAGATACTCAATGGTTCCTCACACTGAGACAGAGATACTCATTGGTTCCCCACACTGAGACAGAGATACTCATTTTTTCCTCACACTGAGACAGAGTTACTCATTGTTTCCTCACACTGAGACAGAGATACTCATTGTTTCCTCACACTGAGACAGAGTTACTCATTGTTTCCTCACACTCAGACAGAGTTACTCATTGTTTCCTCACACTGAGACAGAGTTACTCATTGTTTCCTCACACCGAGACATAGATACTCATTGGTTCCTCACACTTAGACAGAGATACTCATTGTTTCTTCACACTGAGACAGAGTTACTCATTGTTTCCTCACACTGAGACAGAGATACTCATTTTTTCCTCACACTGAGACAGAGATACTCATTGTTTCCTCATACTGAGACAGAGTTACTTATTGTTTCCTCACACTGAGACAGAGATACTCATTGTTTCCTCACACCGAGAGAGTTACTCATTTTTTCCTCACACTGAGACAGAGATACTCCTTGTTTCCTCACACTGAGAGAGATACTCATTTTTTCCTCACACTGAGACAGAGTTGCTCATTGTTTCCTCACACTGAAACAGACTTACTCATTTTTTCCTCACACTGAGAGAGATACTCAATTTTTCCTCACACTGAGACAGAGTTACTCATTGTTTCCTCACACTGAGACAGAGATACTCATTTTTTCCTCACACTGAGACAGAGATACTCATTGTTTCCTCATACTGAGACAGAGTTACTTATTGTTTCCTCACACTGAGACAGAGATACTCATTGTTTCCTCACACTGAGACAGAGTTACTCATTTTTTCCTCTCACTGAGACAAAGATACTCATTTTTTCCTCACACTGAGACAGAGATACTCATTGTTTCCTCATACTGAGACAGAGTTACTCATTGTTTCCTCACAGTGAGAGAGATATTCATTGTTTCCTCATACTGAGACAGAGTTACTCATTTTTTCCTCTCACTGAGACAGAGATACTCATTTTTTCCTCACACTGAGACAGAGATACTCATTGTTTCCTCATACTGAGACAGAGATACTAATTGGTTCCTCACACTTAGACAGAGATACTCATTTTTTCCTCACACTGAGACAGAGATACTCATTGTTTCCTCATACTGAGACAGAGATAATTGGTTCCTCACACTGAGACAGAGATACTCAATGGTTCCTCACACTGAGACAGAGATACTCATTGGTTCCCCACACTGAGACAGAGATACTCATTTTTTCCTCACACTGAGACAGAGTTACTCATTGTTTCCTCACACTGAGACAGAGATACTCATTGTTTCCTCACACTGAGACAGAGTTACTCATTGTTTCCTCACACTCAGACAGAGTTACTCATTGTTTCCTCACACTCAGACAGAGATACTCATTGTTTCCTCACACTGAGACAGAGTTACTCATTGTTTCCTCACACTGAGACAGAAATACTCATTGTTTCCTCACACTGAGACAGAGTTACTCATTGTTTCCTCACACTCAGACAGAGTTACTCATTGTTTCCTCACACTGAGACAGAGTTACTCATTGTTTCCTCATTGTGAAAAAGCGGTGCTCATTGTTTCCTCACAGTGAAAAAGAGGTACTCATTGTTTCCTCACACTGAGACAGAGATATTCATTGTTTCCTCACACTGAGACAGAGTTACTCATTGTTTCCTCACACTGAGACAGAGTTACTCATTGTTTCCTCATTGTGAAAAAGCGGTGCTCATTGTTTCCTCACAGTGAAAAAGAGGTACTCATTGTTTCCTCACACTGAGACAGAGATATTCATTGTTTCCTTACCCTGAGACAGAGATACTCAGTGTTTCCTCACACTGAGACAAAGATACTCATTGTTTCCTCACACTTAAACAAAGTTTTTCGCTGGTCACTGTTCCCTTTTAATACCATCAAATATTATTCACACATGCATCATCATCTTGCGTGCACAATCATTTATTATACTAAACAAAGCATTATATCTGATTTCGTATGATGAAAAAGTACAGTTTGCCTGGACCATTTGTTTGGATAAGGTCACTTTATTATAGGGAGGTAATACGGTTATGTTAACTAGCTTATACACTCCCAATTTTCTTAGGTTAATTACATGGCATTACTAAGGATGGAAATATCTGAAGTAACATTGGTTGGATCACGTAAAAAATAGCCTTCGTCCTCCCCCAGCTTATTTCACCTTAAGATTAATCACCCTAACAGTTACTTCATCTAACCTAATGCTAACGTGACTTAACCTAATATAACCTAACCTAACGATAAACTAACCAAACCTTATTTAACCTAATATAATGCCCTTCTAACCTAATGCTATCCTAACGTAACGTAACGTAACCTAACCTAACCTAACCTAAGCTAACCTAACCTAACCTAACCTAACTTAACCTAACCTAACCTCCACATAGCGTTTGGGTGCATAATCATCAGGTGAAATAAACTAAGGTACCACCTAATGTTAGCGTAATCTATTTAATGTACCTAACTCAGCTCCTCATTAAGACAGACTAGAGACACAAATAAGAATCAAATAATGAAATAAATGAATCAATATCAGCTGAAAACTATTAGTGTAAATTTAAGTCACACCATGAACTAGTGTGAGAGAAGGATAAAAGGTGAACTGGAATCTGTGAGTGACATTGAAGAGAATTAGCAGATTAATTATTCAACTCTTACCTGAGGATTAACTTCATCAAACTTACAGACAATCATCTGATTCCTTCTAATTTATCTTAAATTATCTATCAGAACAAAATTTGTTTTGGGATATAGAATTGCTATATGAATGTTATTGTTCTTGTTAAAATAAAATTCGCACAAGTCTGCCACGAAGCAAAAGAATTAATTTAACTTATTGTTTTCTTTAAATTTTTCCAGGGATGCGTCTGTAAAAAACTTGGCTTACCTGACCACTGAACAAGCTCTGGCAGATGTGGCAAACTTTATCGGGGGTATGAAAGAGAGTCTTGGTTTTGAGGATAACAAGTGGATAGCTTTTGGTGGATCTTATGCCGGGGCGCTAGCTGCCTGGGTCCGCCTCAAGTACCCGCACCTGATACATGGAAGTGTTGCATCAAGTGCTCCTGTTGAAGCCGAGGTTGATTTTACACGTGAGTTTTCTTAACACTGTGTAAGTTGTTGTCACAGGCACTCTGGCCATCCTTACCAGATAGTAACCCTCACCATCCTCAACAAACAGTAACCCTCACCATCCTCACCAGACAGTAACCTTCACCATCCTAACCAGACAGTAACCTTCACCATCCTCACCAGATAGTAACATTCACCATCCTCACCAGACAATAACCCTCATCATCCTCACCAGTCAGAAACTCTTACCATCTTACCATCTTCACCATCCTCACCAGGCAGTAATCCTCACCATCCTCACCAGACATTAACCCTTACCACCTACCATTTTTACCATCCTCACCAGGCAGTAATCCTCACCATCCTCACCAGACATTAACCCTCACCATCCTCACCAGATAGTAACCTTCACCATCCTCACCAGACATTAATCCTCATCATCCTCACCAGATAGTAACTTCCACCATCCTCACCAGAGAGTTTCCTTCACCATCCTCACCAGACTGCCATCCTCACCATCCTCACCAGACAGTAACCCTCATCATCCTCACTAGACATTATCCCTCATCATCCTCACCAGTCAGAAACTCTTACCATCCTCACCAGACAGTAACCCTCACTATCATCACCAGACGGTAATCCTCACCATCCTCACCAGACAATAACCCTTACCACCTACCATCTTTACCATCCTCACCAGGCAGTAATCCTCACCATCCCCATCAGACAATAACCCTTACCACCTACCATCTTCACCATCCTCACCATACAGTAATCCTCACCATCCCCATCAGACAATAACCCTTACCACCTACCATCTTTACCATCCTCACCAGGCAGTAATCCTCACCATCCTCACCAGACATTAACCCTCATCATCCTCACCAGATAGTAACTTCCACCATCCTCACCAGACAGTAATCCTCACCATCCTCAACAGACAATAACAATTACCATCTACCATCTTCACCATCATCACCAGACAATAACCCTTACCATCTACCTGGACAGGGGTGTCAAACTCATTTGCCAAGGCTGGCCAGATTTAATATGAGTACACAGTATGCGGGCCGAGTAACATAATTATGAGCACTTCGCAATCACCTCTTAGGTGAGTAGTACGACAAAATAAGAAAGGTGGATTTAGTCTGCGCTCGTGCGAAACCCTTAAAAACAAACAAATCAAGTGTTTACTTACCTTGATCAATCTTATTGTTTGCTACTGTTGCTTCCTGATAATTGGCACCTCTTGGTATGGACCAGTGCATCAAAGTTTGGCACTAACCACTGAACTGTAGCAACCTTCGGTATTGAATTAAGGTGCGCATCAGTAAGTTTATACCGAAGCCGAGACTTGTTCAAGTTCATCACAGAAAAGAGTTGTTCAGAGACATGTGTACTTCCGAACATTGGCATAATCTTTGAGGCAAAACATTTAATCCTGGGATAATTTGGTCCAAAATATTGATAAAATTTGCCAACATCAACACTCGAAACTTGTTCCTCAACACAGAATCACACTGGAGCTCAATTAATTCTAACTGAAGATGTTCTGGTACCTCATTAACACCAACAGAGAATGGGTCTCGAAAATTTAAAACAAATCCTTCTCAAGTCTTTTAAAGTCAGCAAATTTTTAATGGAACTCATTCATTAATTTGGAAATCTTGATGCAGTACTTCTTTGTGTTGATATCAGCATGAAACTCAGGTGTGCCTTGCAGGGACTTCAAGGTCGGAAGTGAGAAGGATTACTCTCTGATAATTGCCGTTCAAAAAGCTGTTGTTGATAGAGTATTTTGTTCTAGGAAACAGCAGACTATTTTATTCAGGTGAGGGATACACTCACTATTTAGTTTTAGCTCCTCAAGTAAGGCTGGAGCAGCAAATGGGCCGCGGGCCGCATGTTTGACACCCCTGAGTCTACCATCTTCACCATCCTCACCAGAGAATATTCCTCACCATCCTCACCAGACAGTAACCCTCACTATTCTCACCCCTACATCCAGCGTAAGGTGAAGCGCAGAAGCGTTTACAGCGCCCAACAGGGAAGCATGCTAAGTTCATGCTTGCCTTTATGTCTCATGAGTTAAGGGCGTAGAAGCCTGAAGAGTCAATGGTTATATGTCATCAAGTTATTGGAAGCTCCAGTAACTTTCCCTGAATACGAATTCACAACTTTCGATTTATAACAGGTACCTACATTACTGCTAGGTGAACAGGGACTAATGAGGGCTAGGAAGTATGTCCAAACAACTTTTCCCCAATCCGGGAAGCGAACTCGTGACATTTTGCAGGCGAGGTAAGAGCGGTACCGTTCTACCATCGGCGCCCCCACCACCTACCCTCTTCACCATCCTCACCAGACAGTAATCCTCACTATCCTCACCAAGCAATAACCCTTACCATCTACCATCTTCAGCATTCTCACCAGACAGTAATCCTCACCATCCTCACCAGACAGTAACCCTCACCAGGAGAATGAAGAGAATACAACGCCGAGGCTGTGTTAATTCACCATATTTATCATATTGAGTATCCAAATGTACCTTCAGCAATAAGGCCAGTTCCTCACGGAAAAGGCCTCCCTATACCCAAACCACCAGCAAATTTGGAAGAGCTCTCAACTTCGGATGAGGAAATTGAGGAAGAAATCCCAGAATCATCCCATGATCCTTCTTTCATTGACCAAGGCCCATATACACAAAACTTTTATGCTAATGACATAATAGTACTGTTAGCTAACAGTAAAATTCAAAAGTTATACACCAAGCTTAACTAGCAAACTCTTACCGCAAAAGTAGTTGCTTGTTAAGTACCGCTAAACAGCGCTAAAGACAGCAGGAGTTCACCTATAAAATGGTCTTATGGCTGAATAACCTCAATAAAATTATGAAGATTAATTTCAATGAACTGGCCCTTAACCGTTGATTCTTGAGGGGTTAATGGGCTAGGACATGTAAAAGTATTTAGGGATTTTAGTAGCGAAAACCCAACTGTCCTTTCTGTATTAATTAAGAAAATATATTATACACAGTTCCAAGTGTATATTACCGTAACTTATTCACTGTAGCTATGAATGTTGAATGAGGACGGAGGCTATGTTAAAAGCTCTTCTAAAATACGTCCTGTTGGTGTGAGGGGTTGAGCAAGAGTACCTGCAGTAGCCGGCACTCTTACTCAACTCCTCACACTAACAGGACGTATTTTAGGTTACCTGACCTAACAGGCCACGTTCTAACCTAACCTGACCTAACCTAACAAAAAAAAAAGTGATTTGACCCAAAGACAAATGTCAGAATCCTCTAAAACAACAAGAAAACTTGCGAAAAAATGATGGGTGGTTAACAAAAAATAACTAAAGAGGGGGTGGCTGGAAATCACCATGAGAGTCAATGCTGCGTTTCCTGGTGTGGTGAGGTCAGTGGCACAGTGTGAGCCACACTGGTTCTCAGTATTGTCCAAGTCAAGAAAGAAGATCTCTGCTGTAAAGAGGGAATACAAATAATATATTCGCACTATATATAATATATACACAATATATTCATTGAATATATCTCTCCTTCCCGATAAATGCATTGCCGCCGCTGATGTTGTTGGTTCGCCATGGTATCAACTAACAGACGACTATTATGGGACTTAAAAGTGCTCCCGAGGTCTTTTAACTTAACAGTACTATTAAGGCCCTTAAAAGTTTTGTGTATGTACTATTAGTGCACACAGGAAAATGTCAGCTGTAACAACTGTTTGCTAGCACTTAAAAGTTTTGTGTATCCCGGCCATGACTTCCAATGAACCACATCTTATAAAACAAAGTGAACTTAATGATCTTGTACGTGATCTCCGTCTGTCAAAACAGCAGGCGGAATTTTTAGCATCAAAACTGCAGGAATGGAACTTGCTAGCGAAACAGACAAGAATTTCTGTTGTTAGGAAAGTAAATATTACATTATCTCCCTCAGTGTGTGTACTGATGTAGATGGACTGATGTCAGAGTTGGGAGAAAAACATGACCCAAAGGAATGGCGGCTTTTCATAAATTCCTCCAAGTTTACTTTGAAAGCAATATTGTTGCATAATGGGAACCAGAAGCCCTTAGTTCCAGTAGCGCATCCTGTAGGTTTGAAGGAAATGTATGATAGTATGGAGAAAATACTGACATATATTAAATACTAAGAGAACAGATGGCACATCTGCGGCGATTTGAAGGTTATAGCCCTTCTACTCGGCCTTCTAGGAGGGTTCACGAAATATTGCTGTTTTCTGTGTTTATGGAACAGCAAAGTAACAGAAAAACACTACAACACAAAGGACTGGCCAAAGAGATAAGTGTTTATTCCAGGAAAAATCAATGTCAAATATACTCCCTTGGTAGACCCAAACGATGTACTTCTACCTCCTTTACACATCAAGCTGGGACTAATGAAGAATTTTGTGAAGGCTGTGGACAAACAAGGTGATGGGTTCGTGTACTTGAGGGGAAAATTCCCACAGAAAGTTACTTTGTGATAGCGACTTTGAAAACAAATTGAATGAAAATGAGCTAGTTGCATGGATTTCCTTCACATCTGTAGTCAAAGTGTTTCTTGGAATGAAGAAGGAAGAAAAATATTGTCAATTTGTAGAGGAACTCTTAAAAGACTACAAAAACTTAGGATGCAGTATGTCCCTGAAAGTCCACCTCCTAAACTCACACTTGGACTTTTTCCTAAGAATCTGGGGGCGGTTAGTGATGAACAGGGAGAGCGATTCCATCAGGACATTAGACGTATGGAGGAAAGGTACCAGGGAAGATGGGATCCAGCCATGATGGGGGACTATTGCTGTTTTTTTACAATCGCAGGACAATAAAACACAGGATGAAATAAAATAACAAATGCCCATACAGTGGCTTATGTAATACTTTTTGTGCCTTCTTATGATTGTTTTCTTTCTGTATTGAATTTTAGTGATGACGTGGACAAAAATTAACTGGAATAACAGGAAAAATAATATTTTTCAGTGTTTGTATTTGTAAGATTTATTTTTTTGTATAACAAATAAACTGTACGTGCCAGAGAATGTTTATTTACAGATTTGTATTCAGCACCTCAAAATTACCAAAATGGAGCTGCTCTCAACCATTTACGGATTATTTTTTTATTTGTTGCCTAGTGCACCACACACAACACCTGTCTATATAAGTGTTTATTCCTTCACAGATTGTTGTGACGCCTGACCCAATAACTGCCCCAGGTATAAGAAGCACCTGGATCTGTACTGTTACTGTGATCGTTTAAGATGTTACTTATTTTCTGTGCATATAAAAAGTAGCATATAATATAAAGCAAAATTAAGTTTAGTAAACACTTTAACTTTGTACTTTTTATTAATAAGTTTCACCTCACACGACAGAATACCTGGAGGTGGTCCGCGACTCTCTGGCCACTGTGAGTGAAGACTGTAACACACAGATCAAAGAGGCTCACCAGCAGCTGGACCTGTTGCTGGTGGACCAAACTGGCTGGGACACCATCACCACTATGTTCAAGTAAATAACTCCTTTATCAATGTCCTTCTGTGTCCTACAGGCTTAAACACCATCAGCACACACACAGAAACACAGGCTGGGACACCATCACCACACACTCAGGCCGGGGCACCATCAACACACAAACACCCTGGCTGGGACACCAACACCATACACACACACACACACACACACACACACACACACACACACACACACACACACACACACACACACACACACGGGCTAGGACAACAGCATCACACAGCCTGGGACACCATCACTACACACACAAACAGACACAGCCTCACAGGCTTAGGCATCATCACCACAATCAGAGGGGGACATCATCACACACACACACACACACACACACACACACACACACACACACACACACACACTTCCACACTTACACATACCTCTTTGCACTTACACACACCCATTCACACTTACATATACATCTTTACACTTACACAAACACACAGACATGTCCACACTTACACATACCTTTTCACATTTACACACTCCCCTTGACACTTACACTCACCCCTACACACTTACACACACACCCATCAATATCTACACTAGCTCATTCACACTTGCACACACATATCCACACTTAAACACAGAGCTCCACATTTACACACACACACACACACACACACACACACTACTACTACTACTACTACTACTACTTTGCTGTCACTCGGAAACGAGTATGACGACCATCCAGCTATGATACAATGATAGGAGTTAATAAAGATGTTAACTTCGTTCGTGAGATGTGAGGTGACTCAAGTGGTTGATACGGAATAGGGAGAGCCGTCCACAGATGTTGCACGCGTGGAGGGCTACATCTAGTGCAGGAGGGGGGACGGCAGCTTTTTTCTGGCGTTGGCGCTTGTCTGCCTCGGTATGGAGTCTAACTAGAAAATTTTGGCAACTTATTTTGTGCTCCTCCAAGCATTACTGTGTCGAATGATCGTCTTCCAATGAACGGATCGATTTGGCACTTTTCAGGTTTGTCTTAAGACTATCATTATAAGTTTACCATTGCCCATTAGCGTTACATTTAATATTCATTAGATGACTGTTAAGTAGCTGATTTAGCAGTTTATTGTCATTCATGCAGGTAACATGGCCAGTCCAACGTAGTTTTCCATGGATAATGGTAGCCTCGATTCTCCTACAGGTGGTGTCAGCGAGAATATCGACATTTGTTAATCTTGTCTTCCAAAGGAACTCGGAGGATGGAACGTAGAATACGTTGGTGAAAGTTTTCAGTGCCTTGAGGTGCCTCCTGTATGTGTCCCATGTCTCGCTTAAGACGTGGGAAGGAATCTGCCAAAGGTTTGACATGCACATCTGTTCCGATGTTGAATCTTTTCATCAATGTCCGGGGTGGTGGACATGGAGGTGCTAAGGTACTGATTATGGGTAACATAAGAACATAAGAACATAAGAAAATAAGGAGTCTGCAATAGGCCGGTTGGCCTGTGCATGGCAGCGCCTGTCGAGAGTTACAACCAGCCTCCTTTTAAAACGTTCCAGTGTCCCAGCTCTTATTACAAAGTTGTTAAGCTTGTTCCACTCGTCTACCACCCTATTTGTGAACCAGTTTCTTCCTATTTCCCTTCTGAACCGAAACTTATCCAACTTAAATCCGTTGCTACGAGTCCTATCCTGCTCGGATATTAAAAGAACTTCATCTATATCTCCTTTATTGATTCCTTTCACCCACTTAAATACTTCTATCATATCTCCCCGCACTCTTCGTCTTTCTAGGGAATGCAAGTTTAGTTTCTTTAATCTATCTTGATATGGAAGGTTTGTAAGTCCCGGAATCATTTTCGTCATTCTTCGCTGCACCGACTCCAGTGAATTGATATCCATTCTATAATAAGGGCACCAGAACTGAACAGCATAATCGATGTGCGGACTGACAAACGCAAGATATAAATGCAATATTACCTCCGCACTCTTATTACTTACACTTTTATATATGGCAGTACCATTAGCCTGGATGAATGATGGAAGTGTGATTGAACCAGGGGAAGGCTGAAACAGAATCTGAGTCTTACATGCATCACCTCAAGAGCGAAGTGTGCAAATGCATCTGAGTAGGTTTTCAGGATCTCCTGTAGGTCGCCTTCATTGAGATCGACGAATGTGAGATCGCATGCATACTAAAGTTCAGTAATGGAGACGGCCGACACCTTTGTTCCAGCTCGGAGTCGTCTTATGTTGACAAGTCCCTTCATCCGGTACTTGATGTCCACCCCGCCGGCTAAACTGGCACAGGCAGGAGTAAGGAAGGCAGCCAAAAATATGGAAATGAAAGTTGGTGCCAGTACACATCCTTGTTTTATCCATTTGGATTGGGAAGAAGTCAGATTGGGGTCATTTTGCAGGACACTGCTGTTCATGCCATCGTGAAGTTGCCTCGCAATGGCGATGACTCTTGGTGTGCAGCCAAAACGACTGAGGTATTGCCAAAGGGCTTCCCTGTTGACCAAGTCGAAAGCCTTAGTAAGGTCTATTAAGGCCATGTACAAGTCACGACGCTGTTCTCTGCATTTTTCCTGTATCTGGCGTGCAGCAAAGATCATGTCAGAGGTGCCACATGGTGATCTAAACTCTAAAGCTACATTGAAATTCTGTGAGGGAGTTTTTTTCCCTAGTTCTTATAGATATTGACAATGAAGGTGTCTTTTAGAGCTTGGCTGATTTCCTTTTTCTCCCATATATTCTTCAGGGGAGAATGGAGACGGCTGGTAAACAGAGGTCCTCCTGCTTTATACACCTCTGCTGGGATTGCATTAGGTTCTGTGGCTTTGATATTTTTTGTCTTTAATTAGGGAGTTACAGTCGGATGATCGGAGGGGGACCACGCCATGAGTCATTGGGCCGTACAGTGTTTTAGTGGAATTGAAATACTAGTGCATGTTGTGTTAATCTGCAAATACTTGCATTTCACACGCTATATTTTTCCACCACTCGTTCATTAGATTGCGAAGTTCACGCTGGTTCGTCACTTTCTTCTAGTGGAAGGTATCGGCTTTGGTCCGAGACTGTGGGATGTTCTAGCAGTCAATTAAAGCAGCACGTTTACCATTGACGAATACGTTGATTTTTAGGTAATTTTCATCAAATCAGTCCTGGTGTGTTCTTTCGATCTCGCCGAGGGTCACTCTGCAGGTTTTCTTCACCTCAGTGTCGAGGATACCCTATTCGGCACTCGGTTTTGGGTTGGTTGTTGTTGGGTTGTTTATCAGCCCATCCTCGAACTGCTCTCTGAAAGCAGTTGCTTGGTTTTAAAACCTCTTCTGAAAAGCTTGTTGCCTTCGCTGTTTTGGGGTGACGTAAAGGGAGAGTTTGGCACTGATGAGCCGATGGATGATCTGTGTCACAGTGGTCTAAGCTATACTGTACATGGCTTGGGTGGTGAGGACATTTCGACAATCTCTTTACCTGACAAGGTGTTGGTGATAGTGAGGTTGTGTTCAGCACACTTGCTGGGGAAGAGTACACTGATGGCATTACACTTGCCCACTCAGTTTCTCCCTATGGTTCACCTGCCATAAGTAAGCATCTCTGCCAACTCTGGCATTGAAGTCATCTAGGAGCTCAAACTTATTTTATCTGGGGATAGATGTTAGTACTCCGTCACAGTTGGCATAAAAGATCTCCTTGATGTCATCCTCTACATCCAGTGCTGGGGCATATGGTCTGATGAAGAAGGCATGACGTAATAATAATAATAATAATAATAATTAACGGTTTATTGAAAGAGCTTGGCAGCCAGAAGGCTGAAAATATCCAGTTACATATTTGGGGAATGGGTTACGAATTACAAATAATATACAAGTAACATAAGTGACACAAGTAAGACATATAATAACTAGATGTGGAAAAGCTTAAACTACAGTTCATTTCAACATAGTGACAGTGTAAGGAGCAGTGTTTACTGGGAGTGAATACACTGATTTATTACAAGTTATTGATAATTTTTACAATGGTTGGGACTGGGCTGTTCTTATAGCGATCAGTTCGTGTACGTATGGGCTGGATGCGGTTGTGGTGTCGAACAGCAATTCTCGGACAAGGGATCTCAGGTGGTAGTAGGAGCCGGTGTCGAGGATGGTGTAGAAGCTTCTTACCAAATTTGCAGATGAGGTCGTGGTGATGGTCAGTGAGAGTCGAAAGGGTCAGTGTGTTGAGCGCTTCTTGATATGTGGAGTAGGAAGGGAGAGAATAATCTTGCATGCCCTCTTTTGCACTTTTTCTAGGTGTTTACGTTGTGTGGCATTTAGGGAGGAAGACCAGGTGGGGGAGGCATAGGTGAGCTTGGGAAGTATGAATGTTGTGTAAACACTGAGGAGCTCGTGTGCAGGAACTCCGAGGGACTTGAGTCGGCGGAGGAGGTGGAGACGGAAACTGGAGGATTTGATAACTTCACTGACGTGTGGTTTCCAATTTAGTTTGTTGTCTATGGTGACGCCGAGGAGCTTCGTGGAATCTACAACCTGGAGTGTGTTCGGACCTAGAGTAATGGAAGGAGGTGGGACAATGTCGGAGGAGAGGTTGATGTGCATAACCATGGTCTTGGTATGGTTGATGGTGACATGGTTGTTGGTGGCCCAGTTTTGGAGACTGTTCAATAAATCCTGAAGGGCGGTATAGTTGGGAGCAGAATTGTTGACGCTGATCCCAATGGTGGAGTCGTCGACATATTTCCAGCGAGCAGGGGTTTCTCTTAGGGCATCATTGATGAGCATAAGGAAGCAGAGTGGTCCCATCTTGGTGCCTTGGGGACGCCACAGGTGAGTGACTGAAAGGTGGAGACAGCCCCTCGGAAGCGTACAGCTTGGCGTCGGTCACTGAGGAAGTCTGTAAGCCATGGTATAAGACTTCTCCGAAGCCCGAGGTCAATAGCTTTGTTGATGATTATATTGTGGTCGACTAGGTCGAACGCTTTAGTGAAATCAATGAAGGCGACAGCTACAGACGTTTTCGTTTCTCGAGATGGCGGTATATGTAATCGAAAGCTGACAAGACAGTGAGTGGTGGAGGAAGTTTTCATGTTGCCAAATTGCTGAGGGTCTACGACTCCTGCAATATCAGCATAAGCCCAGTCGAACACAAAACTTTCACAGATTAGGCTGGGTATTGGGGTGATTGCAATAGGTCGTGATTCAGTGAGTGATTCAGTGGGACTCGGGAGCCTTCATGAGGCGCTCGTTGATCCCAACAGCCATTTCATTTAGCCAATGTAGGATGGATTGGTAAAGGGCAAAGCCGACTCTATAAATGTGTTTTTTCTCTGAGTAGGCTTTCCCTTTCAAAAGAGGGTATAGTCGGGCCTCCATTCTGTGAGTCGACCCTCGGCTGGGAGCCACGACTCATTAATGGCTGCTATGTCGATGTTATACTGTGTGTGACCCATGTCTTGCTGACGTACAGTAGGGTGGAAAGAACCACTGATCGATATACGTGCAACTTTGTAGATAATTTCAGCTCCTTACAGTTGAAGATACGGATACTGAGTGTGCAAAAGGTTTGAGATGCTCATCTGATCCGATGTTGAATCTCTTCATCGATATCCACATTGGTGCAGAGCAAAGCTACTACTACTATTAACCTGGATGGATGGTAGAGGTGGCTGAACCAGGGACAGGCTGAAAGAGAATTTTAGTCTTACGTGTATTCACTTCAAGGCCGAAGTGTGAAGCATTGCATAGGTGTTCCCATCAAAAACTTTACAAAATATTTTTAGGTCAAAAGGAATGTTGTTGAACGGTTTCAGATCATAACATCTTGCTTGAGATAACTATCAGGTTACCTAACTTAGTTGACATAAATTATGGCAGCTGTTGGCCAAAGTTATGACCTAAGCTATGGCAGCTACTGGCCTGAGTGATGGCCGCTGTTGATATAAGTTATGACAGGTGTTGACTACGTTATGACAGTTGTTGACCTACTGTAAGTTAGGGCAGCTGTTGATATAAGTTATGACAGTTGTTGACCTAAGCTATGGCAGCTGTTGACCTAAGATGTGGCAGCTGTTGACCTAAGTTAAGACAGTTGTTGACCTAAGTTAAGACAGTTGTTGACCTGAGTTATGGCAGCTGTTGATATAAGTTATGACAGTGTTTGACCTAAGATGTGGCAGCTGTTGACCTAAGTTATGGCAGCTGATGACATTAGTTATGGCAGTTGTTGACATGAGTTATGGCTGATGCTGGCATGAATTATGATAAACGTCATTAGAGGTGAGTTTTTTTCAGAGAATACTGCAAAAAATAGGTTTCATATATCATATCAATGGAAAATAATATAGAAAGATTAATCGAACCAATTAAACTTTATCTTAAAAATAACAGCTGTGTTTGTTTATGTTTAGCAGGCAAGGGGGAGTTGGTCGATGTACAGTATATATAAACGCTGGAGCCTTGCGACGTGAAAGAAGTACCGAAACCCTTGGGACCCTCACTAAGTGATGAATAATTGTTGTGGTTATATTTGTACATATTTCCTCGATGTGAAATTTTGAAGCTATACGAAGAAATAGACACATTCTTAGGATGGAGAATGAAGAAGTCACAGCTAGGCTGTACCGACTCACACCCAACTGTTTTTGTTATTTTTCATAATATTTGTTATTACAACTATGCCACTAGCCTCTTGAATCATTATGTAGCTTGTAATAACTTTTTTTTATATTGTACATATTTTTTTCCGCTTCTTAAAATCTTTTTGTGTATAAATTTCACGTCCTCAATCCAGGTGATATCCTTAGCTTGTGATTGGTTGGCATGTTTTGAGAGCGTAACTATGATTGGCCAACTGGCCCGCCGGAAGACTTTCTCTGCAATGTTTACGTTTGAGTTACAATTCCTTTACAACATTATAAAATAGTTTTGAGCAATGGGAGATTTACATTATTGTAAGCAGTTTGTAAGTTTAAATACTGTAAGTCGGTTACAAGATTGCCAAGCGTGTAACTTACCAGGAGTTTTGAGTATCTGTCCCTTGGAGTTGAAACTATTCTTATTTTTCACTTATGTGTTTTTATTTACAGGTTGTGTTCACCTCTGAATGGGAAAAACACCGACGATGTGTCCAATTTGTTTACCTATCTAACGGACAATGTGGAAGAAGTTGTTCAGTACAACAGATACGAGGACAAGATCAACATTAATACAATATGCGACATAATGTTGAACGGGGAAGGAGACGCTATAGACAGGTATGACAGAACTATAACTGTGTTTGTTTTCATATTTTCTCACTTAGAACTTTGAATTATTAGTTAATCAATGACCTCTAGGAACAGTGTGAATACAAAATAAAGTAAAATCTGGAATTAAATGTTGGGTTAGAATAGTGATGATGACAGCTGGTGTGTGTGAGTGCAAGTCTGCTTTTGTTACTGTAATTAGATTTGTAACAGATATTTCAAAATATTAGATTAATAATGATAAAGTGATGTGTGAGAAACAACAACTGTGTCCGCCTAATAAGGTTAGTAATTACACTAGTCCATCAATAACTAGATATTATGAAAGATACAACACCTTGTGTGTGTTCTTTCAGAAGAAAATATTAACAATTGTCAGCATTGATCTCATGATGAAATGTGAAATGTTGCAAGAGCTGAGAGACACATAGGAGTGTTTAGTTCCTGCCCCTCACCTCTATATATGAATACGTGGACACCTAAACCTTAGACGTCCACATTTCTTTCACCTGATGGTTAGCCACCCGATCGCTAACCGAACGTAACGTAACCTAATTTATCTTAACCTAATCAAATCTACTCTAACGTAACGTAACCTAACCTAACCTAACTTAACCTAACCTAAGTCCCTGGTAGCATATGAGTTCAGTTGTGTCAGTCACCCCACACCGGTACACCCCAAACCCCCTTCCCTCTAAATTCATTCAATTAAATGACTTACCTCTTGGGGAATGGTATAGCCAGACCCCCGTTCTGTGAGTCGACCCTCGTCCGGGAGCCGGGACTCAATAATGGCTGCTATGTTGATGTTATATCTAGCCAGCTCTTTTGCCACAAGGGCGGTTCTTCTTTCAGGAAGCTCATTTGTCCCAGTATCCAGAAGGGTCCCGATATTCCATGCAGCGACCATAAGAGGTTGGATAGTTTATTTTTGTTTTGATCTGTCATTATGGTTGTGTTTTTGACTGCATAAGGATGACCTTACTGGGTGCGGTTGCCCAGTCACGTTGGCTCTTTAGGCAGGCTATGTTTAGGGCACCTTTTCAAGCCCTCTCCCCATGTGGGGTGAGCAGAGTGGCTCCTCGAAAGGGCTACTCAGTCGCACAGACAGGACCGGATTGAACTGCTACCTAGATCCCAGTGCTTAAACGACCATCTTGTCTATGCCACCCATGTACAGAGTTGTGACTAGAGACTCCCGGCAGTCATCTCTGCCTGTCCCCATCGCAACTTGCCGTCGCCATTGGACTTTTGAGAGTATCGGGGTTTTGATGGTGATAAGAAGTAATATGAGATGGATGATGACTGAGCGTTAGTTGATTTATGTGGTGAGGCAGGAGCTCAAGCTGCATCCACACATCTTGGCTCTCCCTTTTCCTGATCCAGTGGTGCAAGTGTTGCAACGACTGGGGAGAGGGAGAGTTGCAATGAACTGCCGATAGCCCAGTTTGTTGGGTTTAGCCCTAGTAGCCAGTCCATCATGCATTTCTTTCGACCGCCAGTGTAGTCGCCTATACCGGCGTGGGGGTCTTGTTGGTGCTCTGTAAGCATGTCTGCCTGATGTGGGGCGCCACCGCAGATTTTTCGTTCAGGGCTTACCCCCGTAACCTTACACCTATCGAGGTTAATCCTCAAAGCAGTGGGGCAGTGATTGGTAGGCGCCAGGACGTATCCACATGTCAATGGGCCTATGCGCCGTTCCTTAGGGGCCCACTGCTGCTCCGAGATCCCACGCTGGCCACGAGGAGGCTGTGTAATGGCAGGGAAGGAATTATGCAAGTTACTTTCCTGTTCGTTACGAGGGCTAGCCAGCGGCGGCAGCTGAAACTGAGAGGACGCAAACAGTGCTTGCACCTTAACACTAACATAATGCTGCCACTCTAGATGCATTACACCACCCTGTGTGTGTGCGTGTGTGTGTGTGTGTGTGTGTGTGTGTGCCCCCTCCCCACACACACACACGCGTTCCTGTATACAGTGTATGAGGGTGGCTGTTCTTGTATATAGTGTATGACAATGAGAGGTGTCTGGGTGAGTGTTCTTATATACAGTATATGACAGTGACAGGTGTCAGTGTCACTGCTCTTGTGTACAGTGCATGAGAGTAACTGGTGTCAGGGTGACTGTTCTTGTATATAAAAAATTCTGCTGTCTCTCTGGGACACATAGGTTTCAATTTTGTCCACCTTTTCATAAAAGGTAGCACCGTAGGTTATAAACTGTCCTACATATACAAATATTAATAGCCTTCAAGCTCAGAGGTTTAGTTCCTGACCCACCACTGAGATGTAAGCGTACGTCTATAGAGAGCATGCGCAGTGGTGAGCGTGACTTAGAGCGTCCCTGCCGGGTTCAGTGCACCACGTGGCATGAGAGAGGGTCGTGCATAATTGTAAGCTGTTGCAATTTCTGATGCCATATATTTCCTTTTCTAAGGTAAGTTTCATATGCTGCTATCTTCACACTTGGGAGTAGATGTAACTGTTTGATGTACCGAAATGTCCCCAATGCTTAAAATTTTTAATAAAAGTGTAAAACATGATGGCCCGTAAAATATCCCACCATGAAAGTTGTTTATATAAATAATTTTCTGTGATGAATATTCAAATTATATAATAACTAATTGCAGACTATAATAATGCTGCTGAATTATTATTTTTGATTAGCCTACTGTCATTCCCAAATGCTGTCTTTGAGTGAAAATACTTATTTTTTGTAAGGGTCTTTATATTGCTGTTTTTTCAGGTAAAATGGCAATAAAGATATATTTATTATAAAATGAAACATCTGCAATCATAGAACAAGAGGTTTCATCTGATCCAGAGTCAGAAGTTGACTTTAGTGACCAGGTAGATGACACAGAACATGTGCCAGAAGTTTTGTGGAACGAGGCAGTTGAAGATTGAATTTCAGATGATAATAAAAGTGAAGATGATGAACAAAGGTGTTGCAGCCACTAAGAAAGACAGTAAACCAGGGAGAAGGGTAGTGTTTAGACAAACAGGGAAGCCAGTTCCTCCTGGAGCATTTTCTGCACCAACAAGTCCTAGTAAAGAAATTTTGGACCTCGAAGACCCTACTCCACTTGATGTTTGTTCTAAACTAATATCTAAAAGTATCATTGAACATATGGTTTTCCAAACAAATTTGTATGCTCAGCAAAAGAGAAAGAGATGCTTTCATTGGAATAAATATGCTGATGGGAATACACAAATTGCCAAGTTACCTTGACTACTGGAGCACTAACCCATGTTTACATAACCCATTCATAAGCAAAGTAATGTCAGTAAATCGCTTTTGTTGGCTTTTGAATCATGTCCATCTGAATGATAATATACTGATGCCAGACAGAAAGAGTTCAGATTATGATAAGCTCCAGTACGTCCATTTTGAACTTGTTACAAGAGAACTTCCAGAGGTCTTTCATCCTATCAACAGTGTTGCTGTGGATGAATCTATGATTAAGTTCAAGGGACTCTCTTCACTGAAACTGTATCTCCCCAAAAAACCTGTAAAAAGAAGTTATAAGGTATGGATGTTAGTAGATAAATCAGGATATTGTTTGACGTTTGATGTATATACTGCCAAAGTACTGTAGGTAACAAAGAAAAGAAAATATGGCTGCAAATGTAGTAACTTCACTAGTTAGTGAACTGCAAGGAAAAGTGCACAAAGCTTACTTTGATAACTATTTTACTAGTGTTGAGTTGCTGGAAAACCTGGAAGAAAATAAAATAAATGCTTGTGGCACGGTGAAACCCTCACAGAAAGACTTGCCATCATTCATTTCAGGTAAAAAATGAAACGTGGAGACTCTGAGTCATTCACAAGTAACACAGGGCTTGCTGTAACAAATAGCAAGATAGGAATGATGTTTTCATTCTGACAAACTTCCATGGTCCACAGGAAATTTCTGAAGTCCAGAGAACAGAAAAAGATGGATCAAGAAAGACCTATCAATGTCCCCTTTCTGTTGTTGACTACAATGCAAATATGAACTATGTAGACAAGTTTGATCAGCTGATGGCAGATTACAAACTTGATCCCCGCAGTAGGAAATGGTAGCATCGCATATTATTTTACTTCCTGGATGCTGCAGTGGTAAACTCATACATACAATGCAAGACAAACAATAACAAAATTTTACTGAAACAATTCAAACATCAGCGTATTGATGGTTTTCTTGCGGCTACATTGATACAAAGAACGAGGACATCCGCAAGAGAGTCTCATTTGCAAATCAAGAAGTCAAAACCTACAGTTTCAGTAGAAATACGTAGAAAGGAATCAAGTCATCAGCCAGAGTGCGCAACTCGAAGATGTTGTGCTCTGTGCAGCACAAAAGTCAAGGAAGTACGCACTGACTGGGCCTGTTCTGTATCCAAAATGCCTCTATGTCTTGGGTAAAATAAACAATGTTTTCCGAAATACCAGGCATAAATAATGAATCTAACATATTTTGTATGCTAAATATGTAAGTGTGAGGATGAAGAAAAAAAATATTTTCTTTAGAATACCTTGATTTTTGTTTGCAATGTTCAGCAGCACACTGCATAAAGGATATTTTCGTCTTTTTGGCAAAAGTCAAATTGAAGATTGTATTTCTTAATTGTTGTAGACAATGCGACTTCATTTTAGGATATTTATTCTTCCCTTCTCTTATAATCCATAAATATACAATCATATATAAGTTGCATGGTGGGGTGAATTTTACACCTCCTAATTATAGCTAATTAATGGCAGTTATTTTTGTGTGTGATTCTTCAACTAAATGTATAATTAGTTCATTAATGAAAGTGATTTTACGTTGAAATAAAGGAAAATATTTTTCTGTGCAACATTTTTTTATATTTTTTTACCCCCAAATCCTCTGCCCCAAAGAAATATAACCTCATGTACGTTCTTTTGCTGCCAGATATGCAGACATCAACTCTATGATCTTAGAAGAATATGGAGAGTTATGTTTAGATCACACTTACGACGCCATGATTAAAGAACTTCAAGTTACCAGCTGGGAGGGTAACGAGGATGTTGGAGGTGAGTCGACCAACAGCTAAATAAATGTGTAAACTTAACAATAGATATATAATAACATCATCCTACACATGATTGCTGGCCACGAGTGAGTAAACATCTGTCAACACTGTCACGCCACGAGTGAGTAAACACCTGTCAACACTCACGCCACAAGTGAGTAAACACCTGTCAACACTGTCACGCCACAAGTGAGTAAACATCTGTCAACACTGTCACGCCACGAGTGAGTAAACACCTGTCAACACTCACGCCACAAGTGAGTAAACACCTGTCAACACTGTCACGCCAAGTGAGTAAACATCTGTCAACACTGTCACGCCACGAGTGAGTAAACACCTGTCAACACTGTCACGACACAAGTGAGTAAACATCTGTCAACACTGTCACGCCACGAGTGAGTAAACACCTGTCAAGACTCACGCCACAAGTGAGTAAACACCTGTCAACACTCACGCACACAAGTGAGTAAACAGCTGTCAACACTGTCACGCAATAAGTGAGTGAACACTTGTCAACACTGTCACATCACAAATGTACCAAAACCTGCCAACGCTTTCACACTACAAGTGCGTCAACACCTGCCAACACTGTCATGCCTTAAGTGTGTCAACACCTGCCAACACTTTCACACTACAAGTGTGTCAACACCTGCCAACACTGCCATGCCTTAAGTGTGTCAACACCTGCCAATAATATCACTCTACAAGTGTGTTAACATCTGCCAACACTGTCACTTCACATGTGGGTCAACACTTGCCAACATATATGTGTCTACACCTGTCAACATTGTCACTCCACAAGTGTGTCAACACCTGCCAACGCTGTCACTTCACATGTGCGTCAACACTTGCCAACACATATGTATCTATTCCTGTCAACACTGTCACTCCACAAGTGTGTCAACATCTGCCAACACTGTCATGCTTAAGTGTGTCAACACATGCCAATAATATCACTCCACAAGTGTGTCAACACCTGCCAACACTGTCACTTCACATGTGCGTCAACACTTGCCAACACATATGTGTCAACACCTGTCAACACTGACACTCCACATGTATTTCAACACCTGCCAGCACTGTAAATCCACAACTGTGTCAACACCTGCCAACACTGTCACTTCATATGTGCGTCAACACTTGCCAACACATATGTGTCAACACCTGTCAATACTGTCACTCCACAAGTGTGTCATCATATGCCAACACTGATACTCCACATGTGTTTCAACACCTGCCAGCACTGTCAATTCACAAGTGTGTCAACACCTGTCAACACTGTCGCTCCACATATGTGTCAACACCTGCCAAAACTGTCACTCCACATATGTGTCAACACATGTCAACACTGTCATGCCCTAAGTGTGTCAACACATTCCAACACTGTCACTCCACATATGTAAACACCTGCCAACACAGTCACTCCACATGTGTAAACACCTACCAACACTGTCGCTCTACATATCTCAACACCTGCCAACACTGTCATTCCACATGTGTCAACACCTGCCAACACTGCCAGCGTCACATACTGAACCAGAAGCTGAGGGGGACTGATGGCTGCTATACATAATTTCATGTTCTATGAATACTTAGTTGGAAGAGTAAAATTTGTAAACATGTATGCATAGAAAACTTATGCATGCGTCTCCATTATGTGGATTTATAAGAGTTGTAGTAATTGTCATAAACGAATAAAATAGCTATGTTATCTTGATAATGTTTATAGAAGGATGAACTGTTTCATGGTGCAGGTCGTCTCTGGGTGTATCAGACATGCACGGAGTACGGGTACTATCAGAGTTCAGACTCACCAAACCAGCCATTTGGAGACAAGTTTCCCGTCGAGTTCTTCATCAAACAATGTGCGGATATTTATGGCCCTAAGTAAGTAAATACAATATATTTGTTGTTATTATTAAATATTACCCACAGGCTTACAGGTGTAAACATAGCCACAAGCGTCCAGGTGTAAACATACCCACAGGCGTCCATGTGTAAACATAACCACAGAAACCCGGTGTTAACATACCCACAGGCGTTCAGGTGTAAACATATCCACAGGTACCCGGTGTAAACATACCCACAGGTACTCAGGTGTAAACATACCCACAGCTGTCCAGGTGTAAACATACCCACAGGCGTCTATGTGTAAACAAGACCACAGGAAACATAACCACAGGTTACAATTTGTTATACGTCCTATATGTTATATTCTATAACAATTGCTATATCCAACACGTTACATGTTTGGTCTGCAGGTCACTACACTAACACAGGTAAGTTTAACATTTTCAACGAATACTTCACAACACTTCACCAAAAGAATGTTTCCACGAGCTTAGTACATAAAGTATAATACAACATAAGATGAGGAGTATTTTCGATGTCTTATACAGTATATACAACATTTACGTCATTACTAGTTGATGTTATTTATTAGTTGTGTTGTTCATCGTCAATTGTCTATACACCATAGATGAGTTACTTGCATGGCCTAAATAAGAAGATTTACAAGGGATGCCTGACCATGAGTTTCTGATTACCATTACGGTAGAATTTTACAATATATTGTTTACACTTTAAGACATCTTACAGGACAATGTTTACACGTTAAGCCATTTTACAGGACAATGATTAGACTTTATGACATGTAACAGCACCTTTGCATTATATAAATAGTCTCCCAAATGGATAACACCAAATTATTCACTAAGTTATTCAACAATGACTCAGTAGTTATTCACATTATACAGGTTTTTTTTTTATTGGGCACCCCCCTACATCCTTGTGTAAGGTGAAGCGCAGAAGCGTTTACAGCACCCAACAGGGAAGCATGCTAAGTTCATGCTTGCCTTTATGTCTCACGAGTTAAGGGCGTGGAAGCCTGAAGAGTCAAGGGCGTAGAAGCCTGAAGAGTCAGTGGTTTATGTCATCAAGTTATTGGAAGCTCCAACAACTCCCTGAATACGAATTCGCAACTTTCGACTTACAACAGGTACCTACTTTACTACAGGAAGTAAGTCCAAACAACTTCCACCGGCCCGGGAATCGAACCCGTGACATATCGCTTGCGAGGCAAGAACAGGCTGAGCTAATAACACTCTCAGGGGTCAGGCGAGGTCACCTGACTAATCACAACACCCCTCCTGACGCTCCTCTCCTGCTCAGAGGAGTGGGCAGATTCTTACTACTAGTTAAGGGGAGAGCTCCGAACTTAAGTGTTTCCATACAAGTGTGCCAAAAACACTTCCCCTGGAGAGAATTCACAATAGATTTTCTCCCAAACTAAATACTGTGTATATAGACGCTTCAGAAAGTATTTAAAACATTTCTGTGTGATACAAAAACAAACGCGACCAAAGACATTTTACAGGATTTTGTTTACACTTTAAGACAGAAACATTATCTTATGTACAGGTTCGACTTAAGTCTCCTAGAGGCAGGTGTCAAGAGAACAAACACAATCTTCGGTGGACGTGACCTGAAGGTGACAAGAGTTGTCTTCCTCAACGGCTCTATCGACCCCTGGCACGCCCTGGGCATTACTTCCGACCTCAACCCTGATGCCCCAGCCATTTATATTAATGGTAAGTTATAAATTATGACCATCAAAGTCACCTGCACTTTAATATGGGAACTAGTACTCCACGTGATGCCTCTCATAACGCCATCTGTGAGGGAGTTACTTCACTACGTATCTGGTGTTCAACACCTGAGCTTACATGAGCTGCGTGTGTAAACATTAATCTGTATGTTCACTGTATGTTCCTTCACCTTTCTCTAATGAAGGCTTTTGTTAAACCAACAATGTATGTAATAAGTCATTTGTGTCCAATGTATATTTTCAGCCTTCGGGCTGCAAACTTTTTCAATAAACTATTTATTATTATTATTATTATTATTATTATTATTATTATTATTATTATTATTATTATTATTATTATTATTATTATTATTATTATTATTATTATTATTATTATTATTATTATTATTATTATTATTATTATTATTATTATTATTATTATTATAAATGTGGAGACTCGAGGTACAGTACAGTGTTATACAGCTGAGGACATTTCCGACTAGTGCGCTTATCATTGTTAATTCATCCTTTCCGTGAGGGGTAGAGGGTGGACGGGGGGCCGGTTGGTGGGGGTTGGCGGGTTATGGGGGCTGAGGAGGGTAAGGATGTTCGGTTCTGGGGCAAGAGGGATAGGAGAAGGTTAAGGAGTTCCTTGTTCAGTTATGTCGCAATATTTATTAAGCAAGGATGCAAATATTTAGGGTAAAACACAAATTATGAGTAGAATGTGTTACTGTACCGCACATTAAGTATAAAGACATATATTTAACAGGATTGAATGAGTACTTATTCCCTTATATTACACATCATTAATAACGATTTGGAACTTTATAAGCAGATCTAAAGCTTCTAGTAATTAAGAACAAAATGATCGACGATTAACCTACAGATATTACCTATCTCATAATCTCCCACTATATATGTTAAAACTCTATAGGCCTACTGCCGAACCACAACAACTCGTATCAGCTGACTCATCATTTCTTAGCGCGTCAGTTAACTAACAATAACTTTGTTTCAACATTCTATGAGCTAAAATTACAGGTCTTGGAGTATTATATTTCAACATATGCAAGATTATTCATCTATTCATGCTAAAAAACAAAAAAACAAAAAATATATATATTTCATATCTGCCCATTAACTCGGGTTTGTGTCCTTTGTGTAAACCATAATTTAGTTTTTTCTGTTATAATTTGTGGTTAGTTGTCCAGCAAGGGTTTTATTTTTTTACCTTGTTTCATATATTACTATTCATATATGTATACTAATAAGCAATCTTAATTTATTATTCCAATTATATTTTTCTCGCAATAAATAATAAGTTTCTTTGTGCCTGATATGAATTTATTACTACATATTGGTTTAACATGATTGTTATCAATATTCCTTATAATCTCTGCTGCTAGTAGATTTTTCCTTATTTACGGATGCGTATTCATTATACTTTTTTTTTTTACGGTAATTAGCCCACCCGGGCACAGGTCACTGACCCACATCGGGGCCTAGAGAGAGAAAATGTAATAATAAACATTAATAATAATAATAATAATAATAATAATAATAATAATAATAATAATAATAATAATAATAATAATAATATATAAAAATAATATTAATAATAATAATAATAATAATAATAATAATAATAATAATAATAATAATAATAATAATAATAATAATAATAATAAACATAATAAAAATAATAATAATCTATATATATATATATATATATAGTGGTGGTGGTAGAGACTGGTTGATAGTAGTGGTAATGATGGTGGTGGTATTGGTGATGGTGGTAGTAGTGGTGGTAGTGATGGTGGTGCTATATGTAGTGATGATGAATGGTGTTATATGTAGTGATGATGGATGTTGTTATATGTAGTGATGATGGATGGTGTTATATGTAGTGATGATGGATGATGTTATATGTAGTGATGATGGATGGTGTTATATGTACTGATGATGAATGGTGTTATATGTAGTGATGATGGATGATGTTATTTGTAGTGATGATGGATGGTGTTATATGTAGTGATGATGGATCGTGGTATATGTAGTGATGATGGGTGATGTTATATGTAGTGATGATGGATGGTGTTATATGTAGTGATGATGGATGGTGTTATATGTAGTGATGATGGATGATGTTATATGTAGTGATGATGGATGGTGTTATATGTAGTGATGATGGATGTTGTTATATGTAGTGATGATGGATGGTGTTATATGTAGTGATGATGGATCGTGGTATATGTAGTGATGATGGATGATGTTATATGTAGTGATGATGGATGGTGTTATATGTAGTGATGATGGATCGTGGTATATGTAGTGATGATGGGTGGTGTTATATGTAGTGATGAATAAACAATGAAATAATAACAGTTTAATGCTAAAAAAATATACTTTGCTGTACCATTGTAGTGAAAAACATGGTGGAACTTACATACACCGTTAATGAACTATTGATAGAAGAAGAAGTTTTCGGGACTGAACAGTGAGACAATGTGGAGCCTCCCGGAGGGTGGCGTCCTACCGTTGCCTAGCGAATGAGCCGCCCGGAGGGCGGCGATTCTGCTAGTAATAATAATAATAATAATAATAATAATAATAATAATAATAATAATAATAATAATAATAATAATAATAATAATAATAATAATAATAATAATAAACCATAAAGAAATAAAAAAATGAAATCAAGATCAAGAGTGAGAAACAATATATGTATGTTGTGTTGTTAATGGTAAGAGAAACAATTGAGACCCTGCAATTGTGTGTAAATGAGGCAGAAAGTCAGATCAGCAACCTGGGACTTGGTAACAATTTTGTGAAATGTAATTTCATTCCATTTGGCTTATTTCATTTACAAAAAATAAGCGTAAAAGCATAACACGTTAATCACTGAAATAGTTAATAAAGACAGACGCAAATCGTAAGTGATTGACCCTGGCCGAGGCTACATACTGTGTACTGCTTACGAGCAAAATAGTATAACGTGATAAAAGCCAATACTACATCAGTTATTCTATGAGAGCGTTAGGTAAACGAAGAAGCATGTAAAGCATGATCGCTACCGGAGTACGGAATGAATAAAATTTAATAAATCTGCCCTAAAATATTATGGTTCCAGGCTGGTGTGTACACATCACGTCTCGGCGAGTAACTCAGAGGGTTTGGATTCACGAGAAAGTGAACTGACTACTCTGAGTGTACTCGTCGGAATGTCCCAAACTGTGTTGTACATGTTCAGTGTATATGTACTATGACTCACTTTACATGTTCAGTATCTAAGACAATGTACCACGACCCTCTGTACATGTATAAAGACTCAACATATATATATATATATATATATATATATATATATATATATATATATATATATATATATATATATATATATATATATATATATATATATATATATATATATAATACACAGTAGGAAAATAACAGCGATGTTTAGCTGAGGCAGTTTGACATACGAAGGCAAAGTAAGAAAGCCTACATGACACCTCCTGTAGGTGAGAAGGTCTACACGACGCCTCCTGCAGGTGGGAAGGTCTACACAACGGCTCCTGCAGGTGAGAAGGTCTATATGACGCCTCCTGCAGGTGAGAAGGTCTACATGACGCCTCCTACAGGTGGAAAGGTCTACACGACCCCTCCTGCAGTTGAGAAGGTCTACATGACGCCTCCTGCAGTTGAAAAGGTCTACATGACGCCTCCTGCAGGTAAGAAGGTCTACATGACGCCTCTTGCAGGTGAGAAGGTCTACATGACCTCTCTGCAGCTGAGAAGGTCTTCATGACGCCTCCTGCAGTTGAGAAGGTCTACATGACGCCTCCTGCAGTTGAAAAGGTCTACATGACGCCTCCTGCAGGTGAGAAGGTCTACATGACCCATCCTGCAGGAGAAGGTCTACACGACGCCTCCTGCAGGTGAAAAGGTCTACATGACGCCTCCTGTAGGTGAAGGTTTACATGACGCCTCCTGCAGGTGAGAAAGGTCTACATGACGCCTCCTGTAGGTAAGAAGGTTTACATGACGCCTCCTGCAGGTGAGAAGGTCTACATGACGCCTCCTGCAGGTGAGAAGGGTCTGCACGACCCCTCCTGCAGTTGAGAAGGTCTACATGACCCCTCCTGCAGGTGAGAAGGTCTACATGACGCTGCCCGATGACGCTCCTGCATGACTACATGACGCCTCCTGCAGTTGAGAAGGTCTACATGACGCCTCCTGCAGTTGATGACGCCTCCTGCAATTGAGAAGGTCTACATGACCCCTCCTGCCGTTGAAAAAAGTCTACATGACGCCTCCTGCAGCTGAGAAACTACATGACGCCTCCTGCAGTTGAAAAGGTCTACATGACAGAAGAGACATCCTGCAGGAGAAAGGTCTACGACGCCTCCTGCAGGTGAGAAGGTTTGACGCCTCCTGTAGGTAGAAGGTTTACATGACGCCTCCTGCAGGTGAGAAGGCTCCTACATGACGCCTCCTGCAGTTGAGAAGGTCTACACGCCTCCTGCAGGGTGAGCAGGTCTAAATGGCGCCTCCTGCAGGTGAGAAGGTCTACATGGACCCCTCCTGCAGTTGAGAAGGTCTACATGACGCCTCCTGCAGTTGAGAAGGTCTACATGACCCCTCCTGCCGTTGAAAAAGTCTACATGACGCCCCCTGCAGGTGAGAAGGTCTACATGACGCCCCCTGCAGGTGAGAAGGTCTACATGAAACCTCCTGCAGTTGAGAAGGTCTACATGACGCCTCCTGCCGTTGAAAAGGTCTACATGATGAATCCTGCAGGTGAGAAGGTCTACATGACTCCTCCTGCAGGTGGGAACGGTTACACTATCTCTCCAACAGGTGGGAACGGCAACACTATCTCTCCTACAGGTGGGAAAGGCTACACTATCGCTCCTATAGGTGGGAACGGTTACACTATCTCTCCTACAGGTGGGAACAGCAACACTATCTCCCCTACAGGTGGGAACGGCTACACTATCTCTCCTACAGGTGGGAACGGTTACACTATCTCTCCTACAGGTGGGAACGGTTACATTATCTCTCCTACAGGTGGGACGGTTTACCTGTAAGAAGATAGAATCAGTTTATCATGTGCTTTTAAGAAAAAAACGACATTTTACTCTTAATTAAACAGTTGTATTTCACCACCAGGAACATCTCACTGTGCCAACATGAGCCCCGCCTCTCCTGGCGACCCACCACAGCTGACAGCGGCGAGGGAGGTGGTGAACCAGCTTATCACTGAGTGGTTGCAGGAGTGATGCATCTGTCATCTCTCCTGAGTGTGTTAATGGCCATTGATGGACGAGAAAACATTTTATTCTACTAAATAAAACTTCCCAAAGAACACTAAATATAGAGTCCCTAATTCATGAAACTTTCAGTGACGCACAGGCATCAATAGTTTGTAACTACCAATAAATGACCGTAGTTCTTAGGGGCTCCAGCTTAACCTAAACAACAAAACTGGGTCAATTAGGGTCGGTGTCTATTAGAATTGGGACCTATTTGATCACACTCATTTAATTGTAATTATTATTATACTGAGATACAGTGTTGTTATTAACTCTAAGACTTTGGTAAACTAATGTTAGATATGTAAATGCCACCATTATATTTCACTCTTCAATATTAAAGAAAATATAGAATATACCTTTACTGTATATATATATATCGTATAAAATAAATTTATTGGCAGCTCCAACTCGGGACTTATGGCTGGAACCCATTAAAATTGGGATTTATTAGAAAAAGTACTTACTTGGAATGGGTTCCGTTATTACTAGGCTCTAATCCCAATGTGAGGTCAGATTGTTACCAATTAGGACTGGGACCTGTTTGACGAATCAACAGCTGAGGAAATGACGCCTTCAAAACACGAGGCCGATTAGTTAATAGCCTGTAAAGCAGGATAATGAAACCATGACAGCATGGTGAGGGTCACTTTATCTCAGTGTAGCATGAGCGTTCCAGGAGAGATATGGATGTCTCTAAAACAGGTGATTATGATCACCGTACCCAGTTGCATGGACGTGGCAAAGCTCTGACGGGAATAAGTTTGTGTCTCAGTCCAGGAACAAGCGGAAGGCCGAAAAGGCAGAAAAACTTAGAGACCATCAACTACAACCTCAACCCCCCCTGAGAGTAAGATTAAACTTCCCTGAAGGTACATCACCTGAAGACAAGTATCTCTGGCTGAACGATGCGGAAGGCAAACACCCAGAGGCTGAGTTTCAGTTCAGAGTCGGTACACAAGATCATGTTCTGATTAGAAGCGACCCAGCAGTCATACAGGATCTCCTCACCAATATCATAAGGGGAATAACCATGGAACAATCATCCCAACCATCGAGCAAGAAAACCATCTTAATCATAGGGCTCGACCAGTACCAAACCCCTACACTACTAGAAGCTCATCCCGACATCAGAAGGACAAAGCGACTCAGGGGCAAGAATGCAGTCATTGCAGACTGGGTTGGCTCGGAAGACCCACCCAAGACCATTCGAGTCCGTGGTGCCTATCGGACTCTGAAGGTAACTCTCTATCAGCCCTCTACCCGGAGGTGTTACAAATGTCAGCACTGGGGCCATGTGGCCCGGTTATGCCCCTCGACTAAGCCGTGATGTGGTCTCTGCTCAAGGCAACATGCAACACAGGTTTGCAGAGATACAGTTGCTCAAGGGGGTGTCATCCAACAGAAGTGTATTAACTGCAAAACAGTTGGAGTTCCTGTATGGCACCCTGACTGTTCTAGAGCTCCTACACCCTTTCAGCGCCCAGACCCGCCACCCAGGCAGGTCTCAAGAAACACTAATGCTGCTAGGGTACTCCCTACGGCCAACCCCTGGCCCGCCCTCCCCACCAAAGCTCCAGGATCATCACTAGCAGTCATCGAAAGATCAGTACGGGGCAACACAGACGTACCGACACAACAGGTAGCTGCCAACACATTCCGTGAACACGCGCAATGTGAAGAGATTGCATGTGTTCTGGGTATCAAGTTCTATCTACAGGAGCGAGCACAAACACCTGTAGAGTTTTCGTAGGTTATATTTACTGGATAAACAGAGATACACAAGGGAGGTGGCGCTCCTTACTCTGTCTGGGGGTCAACTAGCCTTTTAGGCGACATGTGGCAAGTGATACATTAGCAGCTTCCATATGTCGCCAGGCACATTAATTAAGCATGTGGGACATGGTAAATACATTGCCACACGCTGCTAGCTAGGCTGAATAAATAATGTATATAAATGGAGCACATACATAATATACATACATAATATACATACAGCATACATAATATACATACATAATATACATACAGCATACATAATATACATACAGAGATCAATGATTTGAAAAATGAAATTAAAGAACTCAAAGCTCAATTTACAGCTCAAACTGAAATGTTAAGGAGCCTCTGTGATACACTACAGAAAAAAAACACCACCAACACAGTGCAGCAGCCACGGAAAAATTACAGTCAAACTGAAGACATTCAGATGTCAGTACCAGATGTGGAAACTCAAGACCCACCAGGAACTAGTGTCCACGCAGAGGAAAATAGTGATACTGGTAACAGTTCTACTGATGCCTCTGTGGACATGGTCAGTGAAGATGAACAAACATAAACAGAAAATGGTGTTGATGTCGAGTGTAACCAAAGTGTGTTGTTGTCTGCCACTGAAATACAACAATTGTTGAGCCGTACATGCTCCAGAAATGTTTCAAAAAGGTTAACTGGCCTACTGCCTGCCGAAGGGACAGACAGCACAGAAAAGAACAGTACGTATCATACAGTACCTTTTGCTTCTTTCCAAATACATTTCATAATGGCCAGTGTTAATACCAGACAAAGATACAGAGCGGTGAAGGTGATGAGTTGGAACATCTCATCCCTTAGAAAACGATACCCTGACCTACACCACAAAGTTGTGACTGAGGACATCGATATTGTGTGTCTACAGGAGTGTCTCACACCTAATGGTAAGCCGCCACCCAGTCTGCCCAATACCATGGGATCACTATCCACCTGGGCAACTCCACACTCAACATGCTATACGCCTATGCTCCCTCAGATCAGCTTCAGTACACAGATCTCCCAGACTTTTTACACACTGAGCCCACTGTCCTGATGGGTGACCTGAATACTAGACACAAGAAATTAGGTGACTCCACCACTAACACCAATGGTAGGAGACTTATCTCACTTCTCAGCGCATATGAAGATGTTCAAATTATAGGTAATAATGAACCAACACACATCTATGGCGGGGGTCTAGACAAATGTATTGGCTTTAAGCTATCATACACAACTCATAGCTGTAATGTTGTCACTGATCTTATGTCTGACCACAGCCCAATCCAAGCTAGTATATATGTAGCCAATGACACCCCCACTGGTGGTAAACTCAACAGACGTAGAATCACAGTCAAGCAAGAACATGAAAGCCCTTTCATAGACTTCATCCATGACTGGTACAAGGACTACAAGCCTGACAACTACCAAAGTTTCCATGACGATCTGATAGATAGGACTTATGCATACTTCACCAACAATGCCTCCACCAAAGAAAGGAGAAAACGTGGTCAGCATAATGGGAACAGGCAACAGCAGTGCTATAATGACCCTGAGCTGAAAAAATTCAGGGCTAGGGTCAGGAGGGTGGGTAAGAGTTACAAACAAATTAGAACACCTCAGATGTTACAATTGTATCAAGCTTCCCTTGCTGCTGTCAGGGAACGTGTAAACCTACTCAGACAAAATGCATGGGAGACATATCTCAACAGCCTGAACCATCACACATCCCTCAGCAAAGCCTGGAAAGACATAAACATAATCAGAGGTAAAAACAGAAGACACGTCTCCCATCCAAACCCTCTGCAAAAGTCGAATGAGCTAATAACAAAGTGGGCTCATGTGTCTAGCTATGACATGTTACCAGCTAGGACTCGAGGACTCCTTGATGCGAAGTCTGTAGAGAGAAGTAATCTTATTAGCTTTATGCTAGGCAAACAGCACGATGAGTGTGATGTTCCATATATTGAGTGGGAGCTTGACGCAGCCCTCGCCAGGGGTAGGTTTACTTCCCCTGGAGAGAACGGAGTCACCTACAACATCGTTAGACTACTAAGGCGCGTGCCAGGCAATCCATTGTTGGTATTGTACAATATGAGTCATGCCGAGGGCCAACTACCCACATCATGGACCAGCATTATTGTTGTACCAATACCGAAACCAGGACAGCCTGATGCTTTTCGTCCCATAATAATAATAATAATAATAATAAACGGTTTATTAATAGAGCTGCAGCCGGTGGCTGAAAATATACAGACTTACATTAGATTTAGACATAATGATATAATATGCATTGAATACATTTACACGGCTGTGCAGTACATAAATCAGGAGTTGTTGATTATTTTAACAATAGATGGGATGGTGCTATTCTTATATGTATCGGTGCGGGCTCTTATGGGCTGAATTTTGTTGTAGTGGCGGACTGCGCGAGTTGGGTGGGGGGCTGCAGGTGGCAGGAGGTGGCGATGGCGAGGGTGGTGCAGTAGTCCACGGCCAAACCTTTCCAGTGTTTGGTGGTGGAGGTGCCTGAGGGATGGCATTTCCAGAGTGGAGAGAGCGTTGGTGTAGCCGGAGTATTCTGCGCCGAGCATGATTCTGCAGGCCCTTTTCTGTACCTTCTCTAGCTGACGTTGTTGGGTGGAGTTGAGAGAAGACGACCAGGCTGGTGACGCATACGTTAGTTTGGGGAGAATAAAGGCGTTGTAGATGGTCCTCAGCTCTGGCGTGGGTGTCCCAAGTGACCTAAGTCTTCGTAGCATGTAGAGACGGTACGAGGCTGCCTTGACTGTGTTATTTACATGGGCCTTCCAGTCAAGTTTGTTGTCTATAGTTACACCCAGGAGTTTAGCAGACTGCACCAGCTGGAGAGGATGGGCACCCACTGTGACTGCTGGGGCTTGCACTGGAGTGGTGGCGGTATTGATGTGCATGACTTCGGTTTTGGTGTGGTTGATGGTGACCTTGTTCTCCGTAGTCCATGCCTGTAGCCTGTCCAGGGTGCCTTGGAGCGGTGAGTAGTCTGGTGCGGTGTTGTCCACTGAAACCCCCACAGTGCAGTCATCCACGTATTTCCACCTGTGAGGAGTGTCCGATAGAGCGTCGTTGATCAGGATGAGGAGGCACAGTGGTCCCATCTTGGTCCCCTGGGGAACACCGCAGGTGAGGTGTTGGAATGTAGAGACCAAGCCCTGATACCTCACTGCTTGGCGACGTCCACTCAAGAAATCAGTGCGCCATGAGACCAGGTTGGTGGGCAGCCCTAGTGCAATAGC